AGACCCACAGGCAGAGATAGAGGAGCAGGGTCAGGAAGGATGCTTGTTATCAAACCCCAGAGTGTTGGGGTTTGAAGCCGGCTCTGGCCTGGGGCCCCAGATACCCAGTGCTGCTATATTCGCAGCTGGGACGCTAGGCCACGTGGGGACACTAGGCCACGTGGGGACCCTGCCCCTCCGTGACGAGAGTGAAGCTTGATCTTGTTTATCTTGTGGGCAGACACCCACAAGGCCGTGGCAGACACGGAACTAGGCTGGCACTCACCGGGAGCACGGATGAAGCTCCAGGTCACCGTTCGGGCTGAACCCCGAGACTAGCTGCCTAACCACCACTCCCCCTGACCCAGGAGGCCACAATTCCAGTCACTGGTTTACCCAACCCAGGTAGGGAGGCCATGGCCCTAACCACTGCACCACCCCACCCAGTTAGGGAGGCCATGGCCCTAACCACTGCACCACCCCACCCAGTTAGGGAGGCCATGGCCCTAACCACTGCACCACCCCACCCAGTTAGGAAGGCCATGACCCTAACCACTGCTCCACCCCACCCATTTAGGGAGGCCATGGCCCTAACCACTGCTCCACCCCACGCGGTTAGGGAGGCCAGCTCTGCAGCTAGCTCCATTCCGCCAGCCCTCAGCACTTGTGGCTGCAGTTTTGCACTCAGATGCGGGAGGCAGAGCCCAGAGCTGATGTGTGGCCTGGCCCGCCGACAGACACAGCCACTCCAGACACATCCCTGGCCCGCCGAGCACCTTGAACTCCAGCCAGCCGCATGCTGGGAGAAGGGAGGGGCCCTGGGGATCCTGAGACAGATAACAGCACCCCCATCCCCCTCAGACCCGGCCCCTCACCTCCCTGACAGCCTCGGAGTCAGGAGAGAGACCCTGGAAACTGGGCCCCAGGGGTTGCAGCCGTGGGACTCTGCGGCCCCATCTTCCCGGCCTCAGTGTCCTCACCTCACTCTGGGGTGGGGGCCCTGGGACCTGGGGCTGAGAGGCCAGAGCCTCCCCTGGACCTCCCCACTCCACCCTCCATGGAACCCAGGGCGTCTCCAGCTGGCCGTGGTCCTGCCTAGCGGTTCTGGCGACGGACGGACGGCGTGAAAGCAGCTCACTAAGGGCAGTGCAGCTCACTAAGGGCAGTGTTGAAACGCGTCGTGTTTCTCTGGGGAGACGTCACGGCAGATGCCAAGAGCCCTCGCGTGTCAGAGACCCTGAGACAGGGCCAGGATGAGAGAATGCAGGAGCCCTGGCCACGGAAGGCTCAAGCGACCGTGGTTTGCGGGAGAGAGGGCGGTCTGGACACCCATCTCCCTGGGCGCAGCCGCCTGTGTTAGCCAGAAGAGGGAAGAATGGGGAGGGGGGGAGGGGCCGGAATCTCTGCATCCAGGGTGCAGGCCGTATGGGCAGGGTGGTCTGGACAGAGACAGACCCGTACCCCCACATCAGGGCTACAATCACATGTGGATCATCTCATCAAACCTCTAGGGAGGTAGGTAGCATTTTCACCCCGTTTTGTAGCAGAGGAGGCCACGGTTCAGAGAGGTGAAGCCACTTGCCCCAGGTGGCACAGCGGGAAATGGCAGATGTTGAATCTCAGCAGCGGGACGGCAGAGGTGAGGGGCTGTCACCTTCCAGGCTATGCTGTTGCCCCAATGTGGGGTCGGGGGGGGGGAAGCATTGTCTGTGCGGACAATGCAGTTGTCTGCTCTTGTGACCTGGGGTGACTCGTTGGCGACCCCAATAACCAGGGGCAAGAAAGGGCCACTCAACCCAAGGGGACAATTGCCTCGGAGAACACATGGCAAACACAGACCACGGCATTCTCCCTCTGGGTGAGCTTGACCAAGATGGATTCCCTCTTGACCACCGAAACAGGCTTCAAAATCCATGATGCTGAATCGGATCAAGGGGGTGGAGCCACACACCACAGTGCTCAGGGTTTACTCCTGGCTCTGTGCTCAGGGATCACTCCCGGCTCTGTCTCAGAGTTTACTCCTGGCTCTGTGCTCAGAAATCACTCCTGATGGGACCATATGGGATGCCGGGAATCAAACTGGGTTTGATGACCTTACCTGCTGTACCATGGCTCTGGCCAGGATTTCCACATTCATTGTGAGGTCCAGTAAAGAGGAAGGCTGGGGGGGTGAGGGTTGCATTTGGGAAGGGGGAAGTGGGCAGTGACTTTGAGGGGAAGAGGGAAGTGGGGACAAGGAAGTGGAGAGAGAGACTATGGGCTTGGGAGAGCCAGATGTGCCGGGGATGGTTTGTCCCCCTTCTATCCCCTGCCCTCCGCCGCTCCCTCTTACTCAGGAGAGAAAAGGACCTGCGGGGCAGAGAAGGTTGGCAGCACAGGAGGGGAGGGTTGGCTTGACCGGGTGGCCGCTGCAGGGACAGCCGGGAGGAAGCCTGGCTCAGCGTGTGGAGGAAGCCCTTCCCTCTGTGCCCTGAGGAAACAGCCCAGGTGAATCCAGAGTGTGTGCAAGGAGGCCCTTTTCTCTGCTCCCATTTCTCACTGAATTCAGTTCCCGGCTGGGGAGGGCATGGGCAGGGGGAGAGGGGGCAGGGGGAGGAGACAAGGTCAGCAGAGGCCCGCCTGGCACTGGTGACAGCTGCTGAAGGGACGCAGACTTCAAGCAACGTGAGACCCCCTGGGTTGGGCTCTGGAGCCAAGAGCTCACAGGAGGTGGGGGGAACCTGGGAAAATGGGGGCAAGACACGTGGGGGAGGGGCTGGGCAGAACGTGATGGGGGGCTGAGAGCTCCCTGAGGGCTAAGATCTCGGAGGCACCGGCAGGAAAAGTGGGTGCGTGCGTGCGACGGGTGTGAGTGTATGCGTGTATGCGTGAGTGTGAGTATTTGTGTGAGTGTGGCATATCTGCTTGAGTGCGGGTGTGTGTGGGCATGCCTGTGTGAGTGTCCGTGCATGTGTGAATGCATGCGTGAGTGTGAGTACAGGTGTGAGTGTGTGCATGCATGCATGAGTGTGAGTGTGGGCATACATGGGTGAGTGTGGGCATGCGTGAGTGTGAGCACGAGTGTGGACATACATGCATGAGTGTGAGTGTGTGAGTTCATGTATGAATGCATGCATGAGTTTGAGCATATGGGAGTGTGTGCACATGTGAGTGTGTACATGAACTGTGGGCATACATGCATGAGTGTGAGTGTGTGTGAATGAGTGTGAGTGTGTGCATAAGTGTGGACATACATGCATGAGTGTGAGTGTGTGAGCACATGTGGGAATGTGGGAATGCATGCGTGAGTGTGAGCATATGTGAGTGTGTGCACGTGTGAGTGTGTGCATGACTGTGGGCGTATATGCATGAATGTTAGTGTGTGAGTGTGCATGAGTGTGAGTGCGTTCACGAAGGCAGACATACATGCGTGAATGTGTGTGAGTGTGTGTGAGGGTGTGCAGAGACAATGTGGGTGGAAGTGTGCATTGAGGAGGCTGATGCTGGAGCTTCGAAGGTGTCACTGTGAGGGGTGGGGTACACACATGTACTGCAAGCTTGCTGTCTTGGAAAAAGCCAAGATGTGCACCAGGCAACCCTTTGAGAACACAAACAGGTAAAAGAACTTTAATTTATAATGATTTATATGCCACCTTTCTTTAAAAAAAAATGTTTTTGGAGCCAGAGAGACAGGCCTAGGGAAGGCACTTGCCTTGCATGCCTTGGCACTGCATATGGTCCCCAGCGCACTTTAAAGAGTGACCCCTGGGGCTGGAGCAATAGCACAGTGGGTAGGGCGTTTGCCTTGCATGCAGCTGACCCGAGTTCGATTCCCAGCATCCCATATGGTCCCCCAAGCACCACCAGGGGTAATTACTGAGTGCAGAACCAGGAGTAATCCATGTGCATTACTGGGTATGACCCAAAAAGCAAAAAAAAAATGTGACTTTGAGCACAGATTGAGGAGTAAGCCCTGAGCATCACTGAGTGTGGCCCAACTACCCCTGGAAAAGAGTTTAGATTCTATTTGTTCTTTCCTGTCCCTATTCTGTGTCACATGTGCATCCAGGCAGCATGGCCCATGTCCTGGAGTGGATGCCATCGGTCAGCACGGGATGGGCACCTCTGAAACCATGCAAGGAAGAAGGCACTGCCCTGGGGTGCGTGCTGGCCACTCCCATATCCCCACTTGGCCTGTCACTGCTGTCTGCTGGGGGGCGCACTCAGAGGGCCAACTCAGCCCCCACGCATGCTCCCCCACACTGCCTCCTGCCTCTCTCACCTTTGGCGGCTTCAACGCAGGGGTTCTGGCCAGCCCCTCTCGGACCCCGCCAGATGCCTTCCTGACCCTCATAGCCCCATGTCCAGGCAGTTCTGCTTCCCCTGTGCCGCTGGGCCTCACCTCGGTCCTGGCACGCAGCAAGACCGATGCTGGTGGCCCTGGCCTCGGGCCCAGAGAGTGGTGACGTCCCTGCTCGCTGTCACTCCTGTCTCCAGCTCACTCGGGGAGCAGATTCGCGCCTCTGCCCGACCACACCCCCGTCCCACCCGGCCTGCCCGGGGCCACCACCGCTGCTGGTGCCACAGCTCAGTCTACGGTCCCTCGGCCGGTTCTAATGAGAGCAAACCAGGCCTGCGTCTCCCTGTCCAAACCCATCCTTGTCTTCCGAGATGCTCAATGCAAAGATCAAAGTCTTCACAGGGACCCCAGTGACCTTGGCCAGACCCCCGTCTCCCCCTCCTCTGCTCCAGCCGCCCCTCCCCGCCCCCCCAATCACAGCCCATCGTCCTCGTACTCCAGCTCCTAGGACGGGCCTGGTCCATGCGTGGCCTGTACTCAGTTCACTCCCATCAGAGGATGAATGAACAGCCAGTTGGGGTTCCGCTGTGCGGCCTGGGACACCTCCCTGCCCCTCTCTGGGCCTCCTCAGCCCAGTTTCTTCAATTCAGAGCTGAGGCACCCACCAGGCCTCCTGGCCGTCCACTGCCCCTGCCCACCTCCTCCTGAACCCGCACCCCGATGCCCCCCAGCTGGCCCTTACCTTCTGCAGCCACTGAGTGTTGTTTTCTAGCACCTTTTCCAGCTGTCGCACCCGCTGGCTCGGCCAGTCCCCAAGTTTCAGCCCAGCAGCTGGCGCGTCCCTCTGGAGGCTGTTGGAGGCCCCGAAGACCTCGGGCTCCGGCGGGCAGGGCTCCGGCTCAGGCAGCACGAAGGTGTAGCTGCACTGGCCGTGCTGGACACGGTGTGTCCGGCGACGCCCACCCGCGTCCTGCCCCCGCCGCTGGGCTGCGGTCACGGTGGCCACCGCGAGGAGGATGCTGCCCAGAAGCATGGCTGGCTGGAAGAGCATCTGGAGACCTGGGGGTCCCGCGGGGAGCCTCCCCTGCCTGCTGCCTCCTCTGTGCTCAGGGGTCCCTGCAGGGACAGGGAGGACGGTGGTCCTGCCCTCGGAGCTGCTCTGCAGCTGCAAACCCCTGCCTGGCTGTGCTCTGTCCCGCGGCTATTTATACCCCAACTGCCACAGCTGCTCGGGCTTCCGCCCGCCTGCCCGCCCCCCCCCACCCCCGCACCCCCTCACCTCTATTCTTCCCCCTTTTCCCTTCCTTCCTCCTCACTCTTGCCTACAGGCTGCTCTCTCCCTGCCTGCACTGGCCCTGCGCTGGCTGACGCTGACTCCGAGTCCTTTCATTACCCAGTGGGGGCCAGAGGGGAGGAAACACACTTGCATGCGCACATGCGAGCACACACAAACACGAGCACACAACACACACTCACACACCATGCATCCTGGTGCACAGACACTCACCCACACGCAGGCACCAGCCCTGCAGTACTGCTGCCCCGTTTGGAAACTCCAACACCATCTGAGTTTTCTCTCTTTGCCTCTCTCTCTCCTCCCTCTCTTCCTCTCCCTTTTTCTCTCCCCCTCTCTTCCTCCCTCTCTTCCTCACTCTCTGTCTCTCTCCCTCTCTCTCTTCCTCTCTCTCTCTCCCCCCCCCCCCCGGCGCACCCCCCTCTCTCGCTCTCGCTCTCGCTCTCTCACTCCTTCTTCCTCTTCTCTCCTTTCCCCTCTCTCTTCCTCTCTCTTTCTCTTTCTCTTCCTGCCTCTGGCATTCAATCTCCCTCCAACCTCCCTGCACCAAGACCCATCTCAAGTTTCAACACCCCCCCCCCCTTGTTCATGCAAAAGCTTGGAACACAGGGAAGTGACCCCCAGAGAGAGCAAAGGGAAGGGAGGGGCGAGGGGGTGAGTCTAGGGAGCGGCAGCCGCCCAACGTGTCTCTGGGGGAACAAAAAATCCTTGCCAGGCCTGGGGAGGGTTCCCTCAGCCAGGAGCCGCTGCCCAGTCTCCCTCTTCCTGGTGGGAGCTGGGGGGGTGGTCCCCTGGGGGCCCTCGTGGTGGGGCCGCCCTGGCCTGTTGCTGGAACTGTAAGGAGGGGTGTCCTGGCTTGGAGCGTTCTGTCCTGGGTTCATCTTTGGCTGGAGTCTGTGTCTCTCCGGCCTGGGAATCAGGCAGCGGGTGCTTCTTTAAAAAGAAACAACTGTGCCTTTCCATTTGGGGGCAATACCAGGCGGTGCTTGGGGCTGTTCCCAGGATGCTGTTGGGGGTCGCACCCCCTGGTGCTGAGGGACCGGGTACCCTCTGAGTGACCTCTCTGACCCAGGCCGCTGGGAACCCAGGCAGAAACGCTGCTTGCTTCTGCCAGCTTTGGGGGGGCAGTTTCTCCTCTGAGTGCCCGGACTCTGATCTGTAAGCCAGGCTGTCCCATTCCCTGCCCAGCGAACATCTGCGTCTTCAGAGTGGGCCTGGAGGAATCATTTCACCAGCTTGTGGACTCCGATCTTGGCTCTACCACTCCCTCCTCACTGTGTGGCTTTGGGAAAACTTCTGCACCTCTCTGGGCCTCCATTTCCTTCTGCTTCCCCAGAGAAAAGAGTCCCCTCCGCTGAGGGTGTGGAAGTGAGTGTCTCAACGAGGGCTGGAGAGGGAGCACAGCAGGGAGGGCGCTTGACTTGCACAAGGTCGACTGGGGTTGATTGCTGGCATCACTTATGTTCCCCCTGAGCCTGGCAGGGGTCACTCCCAAGCACAGAGTCAGGAATAGTGTTTGAGCGCTGCTAGGTGCAGCCCCCAAACCCAAGGACACAAAACTTGCCTTGCTGTTGCGTGTGTCAAAGCAGTGGCGGCGGAGGGGGCAATTGGAACGCACTCCTGGCCTCACCGCCTCCTTGCTGGAATGTGAACCGCAGGAGAGCAGGACAGAAATCTGGTGGCCAGAACTGGGGGAGAGGGAGGGAAGGACTGCCTTCCTGCCTTCCTGCCTTCCTGCCTTCCTGCCTTCTCTCCTGGTTCCTTTCTCTATACTGGGGACTGGCTCTGGGTATTGTTTTTCTCCCTTTGTTTCCCTGACGCTTTTTTTTTCTTTTTTTTTTTTTTGCTAGCCAGGCTGCTTGGGGCAGCAACTTAGGGCTCCTCTGAGGCACTGAGCCCAGGTGTCGTGGGCTCAGTTGGAAAAGGAAAGGCCGCAGCTTTCAGCCTCTCAAACTCCCCCAGCATCCCGCTGCGTGCTCAGAGCTCCTTGTCCATCTCAGCACCCCCTGGGCTGCAGCTGTAAGTGGGCATCACGGCCTGTCCAAGCCTTGCAGGAAGGAGTGTGTTCTCAGGTCAGGCTTTCCTGGCCTGTCTGAGCCGGCAGGTGAGGGCAGCTGCGGTCAGAGCTGTGTACTCCCTGAGTTCATCCCCGGGAGGCCAGTGTGATGCCCTTCTTGACTTGAAAATGGGGGGTTCAGACCCCAGAGCAGGAGCGTGGTGGGTCCCAGGCACATGGGGGCAGGGGTGCTGGGACAGGCTCGGCCACTAAGAGGACTCAGAGACTCATCTAGGCCCTGGAGCCCCTAGGACCCTCCTCCTGAGGGGGTCACATTGTCAAGGGAAGTGCCAGGCTCTGCCTGATCCGATTGGAGGAACAAGTGGGGGAAGGAAATGGAGTTTCCTCCCCTCGCAGGTTCCATGAAATACCAGGCGGTCCTTGGTTATGCTCGCGATGCCCAGCCCAGAACAGCAGGCAGGAGAACCAGGCAGGGCCCAAAGCGGGGTTCTGGGCACCCTGCAGCCAGCCCAGCTCACTCTGTACCTTCCCTTCCATGCACCCCCCCTCCCCCCACCATGCCCTGCCCCCTGGCTCCAACAGCAGCTGTCACAAGTGACCCCAAAGCTGAGTGATTTATACGAAACATCACTATCAATTACTGGAGGGTTTCTGTGGGTGGGGGTACTTGGGGTTTCGCTGTCTTGTGAGGAACAGTCAGAGGCTGACTGAGCTGGGATGAACGAACCCACAGCTGCCTTCCCACCCTCCTCCCCCGCCCGCCCAGCACCAGGGCACGTCCCCGACCATGCTGGCTGTCTTTGGGTGATTCCCCCAACAACATGGCATCAGTCAGCCCAGCCCAGCTTCTTCAGGCCTCTTGGCATGACAAAGGCAGGTGGGAACACACTCTTGGAGGAAGATTGTAAGGATCGTGGGTACACCGAGGAGCTCACCTCAGGAAAACGCCACAGCAGGAAGCAGACCCGGCCACATGGTGCCCCCTTAAGTCCTTGAAGGTCTTCAGTCACACGCCCCAAGTTCGCCCCTCTTGTCTTTTTGTTTTGGGCCACACCTGACGATGCTCAGGGGTTACTCCTGGCTCTGCACTCAGGAATCATTCCTGGTGGTGCTCAGGGGACCATACAGGATACTGGTAATCGAACCCAGGTCGGTTGCATGCAAGGCAACTGCCCTTCCCGCTGTGCTATAGCTCCGGACCCTCTCCTTGAGTTCTGGCCCCTCTCTGGCACTTAGCAGTGGGTAATAAGCAGTGGGGTGACGCCCTCTCTGTTGATCTGAGCATTGGATAGGCAGTAGATGCTCCCGGTGAGCTGGCCGAGTGAATGAATGAGCAAGAGAATGTGACACCTGCACTTGGCTGTGCCTGGGGGAGGCTGATGAGTGGGAGACTGCGGTGCCGTGGAGCGTGAGTCTGGCTGACACAGACGCCCTGGCCGGATGGGCAGCTGTCTGACACCGGGTTCCCTTCTCACTCAGTGGTTTTACCCTGCAGCCCAGGACTCTGGTATGACTTCTGGACAGTGTTGACAAATGTCCGGTTGCTGAGGACCTTGGTTGTTGTTGATGGTTTTGAGGTCATTCATGGTTGTGCTTGTGGGGGTCTGTGTGGTGCCAGGGATTGAAGCCAGGACTCCTGTTCTCAAAGTGTGCATTCCAGTCCTCTGAATGCAGGTAGTTTGGACACAACAGTAGCCCAGAGGCAGAGAATTTAGAAAGCGGCCTCCTGGTACTGGGGGAACGAACCAGCCACAGCCCTGGGAAGCAGCAGGAGCCTAGCAAAGCTCAGGGCTTACTCCTGGCTCTGCACTCAGGCATCACTCCTGGTGGGCTCAGGGGACCAGCTGGGATGCCGTGGATGGAACCTGGATGGGCCCTGCTCTTGCCCCAACCAGAGGGGTTTTTTAAAAAGCACAGCACAGTCCTCCAGGCCCCTGCTTCAGATGCTTCCATTTTTTTTTTTTTTGCTTTTTGGGTCACACCTGGCGATGCACAGGGGTTACTCCTGGTTCTGCACTCAGGAATTACTCCTGGCGGTGCTCAGGAGACCACATGGGATGCTGGGAATCGAATCCAGGTCAGTCGCGTGCAAGGCAAATGCCCTACCCGCTGTGCTATCTCTCCAGCCCCCAGATGCTTCTATTTTCAACTTGTGCATTTTATTGCATTTAAAACTGCTGAAGTGGCTGACAGATCCCAGCAGAATCTGGCCTCATCACATTCCTCTGGCTTCCTCCTTGTGGAGCAGGATTGGTTCTGCTTTGAACAAGCTCCCCGCTCTCTCTAGCTTCTTGCCATAGCTGCTGCTGCAGTGTGAGTGTGTGTGTGGGGCGGGGGGACGGGGGGATGGGCGGGGGAAGGGGAATTCCGAGGGGAATCCCGCCCTCCGCCTCCCCTGTTCTCTGACTACCCTAGACCTGCTGTTCCCCCCCTCCGTCCACCCCCACTCCCGTTTCCACCGCCCATCTGAGCTCTCACCCTGCACTGTGAAGGCTTGTTTGCAGGCCCTCATCCCTCTCCAGTCTGAAATCTTTCAGACCAGACTTCCTCTCACTGTGCCTGATGCCTGTCTTCAGGTGAGGTTCAAAGGGAATTCTCATGAGTGTTTGCTGAGTGAATAATCTCCGCTGTAGCTGAAGCCCTGAGTAAAGACTCAGAAAATCATTCTTTGTCACCGACGACAGGAAAAGAAGGAAATTTCTGGGTGGGGCAGTTTGTGTCTCCTCATCCATTACTTAAAACATCACCCGCCTCTGTCCTCCTCCCCCACCCCCACTCTG